GCCGTGCCCGCCCGGTGAGGTCCGTCCGCCCGACCCGTCCGCTGGGGCCCGACGCTTGACGCGCCCGTGAGGTCCGCCCAGCCGCTTGTTGGGCAGCCTGCCCGCCTGCTCCAGTGTCCCCCGACCTGCCTGCTCGGGCCCCCCCGCCCCATCTGCCCTCTGTAACCCATCGGTCGTTGGGGGTCAGAGTGAGGGGGCCGCACGGTCATTCAGTGCCCCGGGGCGCGTGGCTGAAGTGTGAGTCCGTGGTGAGGATTCCGCTTGTTGTTGTGATTGTTGTTGCTGCTGTTTTTGTTTTGTTGTATTTTGTGGTCGTCGTCGTCGTCGTCGTCGTTGTTGTTGTTGTTGTTTGTTTGTTTGTTTGTTTGTTTGTTTGTTTGTTTGTTTGTTTGTTTGTTTGTTGTCGTCCCCCCCACGACCCACCCCGCGACCCACCCCGCGACCCACTCGCGACACAGCCCGCGCCCCACTCGCAACCCACCCGCAACCCACCCCGCGACCCACCCGCGACCCACCCGCGACCGATCCATATTGGTTTGAAGAAAAAATGGCGCCTGCGGCGGGCTCGTTGTATAGTTTGTGAAACTTTGGCGCCTGCGGCGGGCTTCTCCAGAGTCTCGCAGACTGCCAACGTCCCCACCGCCCCCTCACTCTTGCCCGCATCTGCGGGGTGCTACGTAGGTATTTGTGGATTCCCAGATTCCAGTCTACTTTAAAGGCGCCTTCCTACTTCAATGATCGAGTGGCTTCACCTTCTCCATCCTCCTTAAAAAGCTGGTGGACACCCAATTTACTTCCAACGCCTTCCTACTTCATGTTGCTACCTGCTTCCTCCGACCGATGGGGACCCCTCCATTCCCCGAGGGCCAGCTTTCGTCCTGGATGCTCTCGCTGCCCATGGCCCTGGAAGACGCGAAAGCGGCCCGTTGAGACGGAACGCGCAGAAACAGACGAGATTGACCTTCGAATGCAAACTCCATAATGGCCATGCCTTGCCGCCGTAGCCATTTTGGCTCAAGCCATTTCGGCTCAAGGTTCTCCGTCGGCGCATATTGTTGCAGGCCCTTTTCTAGTCGTTGAACCATCACTGTAGCCATGGCAGAGACATTCGCATTCAATGCTGATATCCAGCAGCTCATGAGCCTGATCATCAACACCTTCTACTCCAACAAGGAGATCTTCCTGCGCGAGCTCATTTCCAATGCGTCAGATGCCTTGGACAAGATCCGGTACGAGTCCATTACGGATCCTGACAAGATCGAGGCCCAGCCGAATTTTTATATCAAGATCGTTCCCGACAAGACCAATTCCACCATCACGATCGAGGATTCTGGCATCGGGATGACCAAGAACGAATTGATCAACAACCTCGGCACCATCGCCAAGTCCGGCACCAAGGCCTTCATGGAGGCAATGGCAGCCGGCGGCGACATTTCCATGATCGGGCAGTTCGGAGTCGGTTTCTATTCCGCGTACCTCGTCTCGGACAAGGTGCGCGTGATCAGCAAGAACAACGACGACGAGCAGTACATCTGGGAGTCTGGGGCTGGTGGCTCCTTCACGGTGCAGAAGGACACAGAGATGGTGCACGGGGAGATCAAGCGCGGCACTAAGATCATTTGTTATTTAAAGGAGGACCAGTCCGAATTCCTGGAGGAACGCCGCCTGAAGGATCTGGTCAAGAAGCACTCGGAGTTCATCGGGTTCCCCATTGAGTTGTACGTGGAGAAGTCCAAGGAGAAGGAAGTTACGGATTCCGAGGACGAAGAGGAGGAGAAGAAGGACGAGAAAGAAGGCGATGAGCCGAAGATCGAGGAGGTCGACGAGGAGAAAGAGAAGGAGGAGAAGAAGAAGAAGACAAAGAAGGTCAAGGAGGTATCCCACGAATGGGAGCAGCTTAACAAGAACAAGCCGCTGTGGATGCGCAAGTCCGAAGACGTGACCAACGAGGAGTATGCATCGTTCTACAAGTCACTGTCCAACGACTGGGAGGACCACCTGGCCGTGAAGCACTTCAGCGTTGAGGGCCAGCTGGAGTTCCGCGCGCTGCTCTTCGTGCCGCGCCGGGCACCTTTCGACCTGTTTGAATCCAAGAAGAAGCGCAACAACATCAAGCTGTACGTGCGACGCGTCTTTATCATGGATGATTGCGACGAGCTGATGCCCGAGTGGCTCAATTTTGTGAAGGGCGTGGTTGACTCCGAGGACCTGCCTCTGAACATCTCCCGCGAGACGCTGCAGCAGAACAAGATCTTGCGAGTGATCAAGAAGAATCTCGTCAAGAAGTGCCTCGAGATGTTTGCGGAGATCGCCGAGAAGAAGGACGACTACAAGAAGTTCTACGAGCAGTTCGGCAAGTGCCTCAAGCTTGGCGTGCACGAAGATTCCACCAACCGCACCAAGGTCGCGGAGCTTATGCGCTACCACACCTCGAAGTCTGGAGATGAGATGATCAGCCTGAAGGAGTATGTGGACCGCATGAAGGAGGGGCAGAATGACA